TATTGTTTGTTTCACTTCCAGCGTAGAAATATACGAGCTTTTCGAGAATCTCTGATAAAACTGTTCGTTGACCGTCTAGTGTAAATGCACACGTGGAAAACACTCGTTTTAATCGTGAATGTGTTTTTTACAACTCGCAACTTCCGGCGATTTATTTCTGGAAGCAAAAGATTGCAGTGTCGTTTACGAAATCCATATCGCGCCGCTTTATCAATCTGTAGCAATAACGTCGTAATTAGGTGTAGATTTTGTTTTCCAAAGCAAAATTTTGTGATGATTCATAGAGTTAATCGGTACATGAATCGGTTTTCTCAACGGAATAAAGAAATATAACAATAAGCTGCAATATACACAGAAGTATTGATTTATAAGTACATGTGTTGAATGACCTGCTAATACATATAATCTTGAAAAATGATCTTATCTTTGTTAAACATTCAATGAAATACATCATAAAGATAACATATTAATATCAGGAATTGAACATAGAAAGAAATATTAATATCAGGAATTGAACATAGAATTTTGTTTTTTATCTTTATTTATTTTTCTATTTACGATGTTTATATTCATAAATCTATTTTTAACCTGATTGTTTAAAGGAGAATTCTAGTAGTAAATGTGCTATATAACTCCTGAAAGTTGAAAACATCTCAAACAAAAACAAACACAAAAAGTTTGTAGATTTCATTGTTTTTACAGTTTTATAAAAAATGAATTTTAATCTTATTTATATAATGTTTAAAAAGTATTATTCCAAATAAATCATCAACGATCAAGTTTGATAAACTATTAATGTCAGAATAAATTCAGTATTATTAAAAATTTTTATTAGTTTCTTAATTGCACATGACATCTCTGTTATCTAATTGTTTATTTGCTGGAAATTCTAATAGCACAACACTATTAAATCTATAGTGTCAAATTTAATCTAATGTGAGTCGCCACCTCCTATTCAATTATACCGTTATATTATATTAAAATAATGATTATATTTCACAATATACAGTGTCAATTTGACACTATGTAGTGTCAAATTGGCACGATAGTTTCAAATTTAATTATCGTTTTAGTATAAAATAACGATATATTTAGTAGGAGCAATGGCGACTTACGTTAGGTTAAATTTGACACTATAGATTTAACAGTGAATGCTCTAGATAATATAGAAAATATAAAAAATAATAGAATGTTTTTAAAATATAAATATAAATAACTAAATTTAATATTTCTATTACAAAAATTTTATTTTTTTTATCATTATTTCCTTTTTTAATTTTTTTTATAATGTAAATCATAAAAAAAATAAAGAATTATTAGATTGAGATGTATGCAGATTTGTTTCAATCCTTTCTAAAACACTAGACCCGTTCTAGCCTTAAAATAAACGAAGTTGTTCTTGGTAGATTTTGATGCGCTGATTACGAATGTGACAACATCCATTAGATTTGTTTGCTGCGAAATCGCTATATACATACGCTCGTGTTAGCAATTGTTGACTATTATTTCATTCTGCAATTTTAATAAAACAGACGGTCGCAAAAGATGACGAATCAAATATATGTACGGCCAGCAATTGTTGCAACCGAGTATGATTCTCGCTCATCGATTTCTATAGTAATAAGCAAATATTTTATTTTTACATTCAGTATGATATTTATGCAAAATATTGATCTTTATATATATATTTAAATTACCTTTTTACATAAAGTTGTTAAATTTAATTAGTATTAAAAATAATAAATATTCTATGACATTTGAGATGTAAAACATTTCTGTATGCGAGTAAAAAATTTAATAATTATTCACCAAAAAACGGTTTTTTATTTTATTTCTTTTTTGGTATTTATTTTTAATGATATTTCTTTTATTGGTATATATCAGTCGTTTTAAACATATAAAGTCGCAGTAACACTTAACTATAATCCTACTTTCAACACATAACTTTAACATATGGAGGTCAACACATACATATATGTATGTATCTTTTTACATCGCAGATAAATTCATATAACATCCTCATTCAAATTCTCTCACGCAATAAACAATCCATCGTATAGTATAATAATAAATTTTATAAAATCATCTTTTGCTCTTTATTTTGAGGAAAAATATAATGAAATAAAATTTTACCAAAAGAACATAATAATACGTGAAGCAATACGCCCTCCCTTTCCTGTTTTCCTATTTAAATTGTTTTGAATTATAATTATATTTTATAACAGAAATGATTTATTTTATATAAGACCACTTCCATAGAAAAGGAAAAATTGAAATGAAGAGAAAATCTAAATTATGTTTTTTTTTTAAATTAATAAATACTTTGAAGTACATTACATTATTCTGTGAAGGCACGCAACATTTTTCTTTCTCGCATAGTCATACGCTATATTTGAATTAATTAGTCAATGATGACGTTAACGGATGGACATGTCCATCGTAATACGTAGGCTGTAACGTTGTCGTTTAGTAACTGCATACAACCGGTGAATGTGGGTCACTGAGATTTCTCGTCGACGCGCCGGCAGGCGTTATCTCTATGTCGGTTTCGCATATTGGTGTAATTTCGCTCGTTCCGCGTAACTGAGTAGCTGGTGAAAACACACGCGTCTTTCTTGGCATCATACAGACGTATCATTGTGGGTATATAAAGTGAATGCAATTTCTTTTCCTCTTCGGGAAGGTTCGTCGGTTCTTTCTCGCGTTTGTTACAACGAATTAAGATAAGAATGGATTGTTTATTTTAATGAATTAAATAATGTATATATTATTCTTAAAATGTACAAATAATCTTAAATATTCTTGAAGAATGCGCTTATCACAGTATGAAATTTTATAGTTTGGATACGTACAGTATCTGCATGAGATAACATTTGAAAACAATACATATACAGTACTGCGGATCCCATTTCAGATTATCATCACTTAACTACGCACATATGGCCACTGCGGATATATCTTCACGCGTGAATCATGCAACTATCTAGCTCCAACATGCCTTATTAGAGAAACTCTACCTGACCCCCACACTTATCCTTATAGTACGACTCGAATATTTATAACATCCGATATAATATGTGATCAGTGGTCACACATCGACTGATGATGATCGAAGAAAATATCTTTCAATACGCATTGCTATTTTTAGAAACAAATCGAATACTATGCGGACTCCACTACCGTTGGAATTGCCGTTTTTCTTGAATCTACAATACTGACCTTTACGTTGCGTGTAAATAATAACCGACATTTGAAAGATCGTGGCGTAAAACCGTTCATATATTAATTTTTAATATTTTTGTACCCCACATTTGCGATAAAATCTGACGATATCTGAAAAAAAATTACTAAATCTTGATACGTATTTCTTTCAGTAGTACTAATTGTGAGTAAACATTTACTTACAGTAAGTAAATAAATATTTATTTAGAACAGTTTAAACAAATATTTATTTATTAAAAATTAGTATTTTTTTCAGTGTCGAAATGAAGTCAAAGTAATTCGAATTTTGAATAGTTAAATATCTTTTATAGTTAAAAAAAGATTGTTTTATTTTTGTACTATATATACTTATAATTGTTAAAATGTTTATTCATCTCTTTCGATATTAATTACAGTTGAAAATTATGGGTCGTTCGTAAATTATCTGTTCATATACTTACCGAGTGTTATAAGCGTACCGCACCATTACGCCATGCATTACATATTTAACGTAATGATTATAACAAGACGCGCGAAGAACGTCCTAATTGTGTCTATTAAGCTGTAGTGCGGAATTAATGAATCGTGAGTTGAAACACGTTGAGTAACTCGTGCCTTTTTATGATACGTTATTTTTATTTTATTTTATTTTATTATTTGAATTTGGCAAGATGTGGTTTTTCACTTGGAGTCATCCTATAATTTATCAATAATATTTTACTATATCCTTATGTGACTATTTCGTTAGAAGAGTGCGATCAATACTGTTGTTTTTAATTAAATATCGGGAAAAAATGACAAATGTTGTTTCGAGAGATGTAGAAGAATAATCATTTTAATAAAATTAAACAGCTTTATCAGTTTTTTAAAAATTATAAACAGCTTTATCAATTTTTTAAAATAAATAATGTAAGCTTGTTTTTTTAAATAGACTTTTAAATGAAAGTTTTGATAGAGTTTCAATTCGGATCATTGTTGAAGAATTAAAAGTTATGAAAGTATTGGAGGAGGAAAGATAGAATATACGATCAAACTTTTATTAATGTCAGTATGTCAAATAAATTAAAGAGTCATAATTTCTGCAATATTTATACGTTGCCCCATCTCGGATTTTCTCTTTTGCCCAGGTGAAGTTCAACATCTAACGAGACTTGTGAATTAGAATTGTTGCGCTATATGGTGTACAAGAACGTGCATTACGCGTTCCTCGCTTTAGTGTGTTTTCTAGTCACTCGTGTATATTTAGTGACACGGCAATCGTTTAAGCCGGTCTCTCGCGAAAGGTCAACATTGATCACCCGTCTATAAGCGTGCCGCATTATTACCGCTGAGGACTTAAAAGTAAAGTACTGTATGGCTAAGGTGCTTACGACTTGGAGCTATAATAAATGGAAGTAGCGGCTGCAGTTCGTAACGGACTATGTTAATAAAAAATTGCATACTTTTTGAGGCGTAAAGTTGTTTCGAATGATTTCAGTGAACGACAAGGAACAAAATACTGATATTGTAACATAAAGTTAACGTTGCAACGATATAATGCGATATACGTTATATACTTATGAAGAATGAAAAAAATGATGAAGAAGAAATAAAGAAATGCATTTGTATAATTCCAAGAAATTTTATGAAAGCCCCGGGAAATCGGGTAAAGTCTTTCGCTACGGTTTCAAAGTGAATTTCTTGGAAACCGTATTCGAGGAATGGCGTCGTTTGATCGATGCCGTTCACGGTTGGATTTGTTCTCAGAGTAGCTGTTTCGCATTACGAGTAGTCGCTACGTGTTACGAGCCACGAGAATAATGTCGAGGAAAGGGGTTAAGTACCGATTGAGTTGGATGTTGCATGACGAAAATATCGAGAATGTGGAGCATGTGAGTCTCGATCCCGAAGTTCAGCGAGAATTGGGTTGCTCAATCGGCGAGCACGTGTTTCTGGAATATCCTTGGGCTTATGTGTCGCGAAAAGCTGTTTTGAGGCTCGCCAACAATGCGGACTCGTCACTGCAGCTATATCAAGATAGGATCGAAGCTTACGGTGGCGATACTTTCCTTGTGGGCTATTCATCTACCGAATTAATCGGTCGAGAGTTCGTGATCTGCTTAACGGAGGATGCGAGATCGACAATAGTAAGGAGGAATGCTGATATCAGTAAAAAAATCCAGAGTGAGGTCATCCGAAAGATCAAGAAGACCGGTAGATCATGGAAATCTCTCGGAAGTGAGACGGCATTAGATGAGGGCTTGATCAGAAGCACGAGAGAGTTCTTCGAGGTAGAAATGTACCTTCCGATTAAGTCTTTAGGCCTAAATCGACAACTCTGTGACAGATCTTCGGAAGGATCTTGGGATAGTTATGTGGAGTTAATTCCATACGAGAGATTTGAGAATGTTGAGAGAAAATGCGTTTCTAAAATGACCCAAACACACTTCGAGCCGCGGGAAATCGAAGTACAAACCTATCCTGGTTATCCTAAGAATGTCTGGACCCAATACTGTTACGAGGATACTTTGGGGTTGCAAGATGATAACATTGAATCGGAGAAGGAGAAGGAGGCGGAGGAAAAAGAATCGGCCGGGGAGAAATCCGAAAAAGAGTCTGAAGAAAAGAAGACGACCGAAGGATCAAAAGAAGTGTCCGAGATTGACGCGGAACAAAAACCGGTGGAGAAAAGCCCCTTGGAGCTTTTCTTAGAAGATCGCGCTCAGGAAATGATTGAGGCTGTGTGTTACAATACGGTCGTCAACGTGCATGTGGATGACATCGAGACGCTTGCAGAGCGAGATTTTGAAATAATCCGGCCGCGAGATGAGATTGCTTGTGCGGAACGCTTTTCCCTTATCGACTTGAGCTTCACAGCGGGCAAGGTCATCTCCGACGTTTCCTGGCATCCAGGTCTCGTCGAATACGTAGCTGTTTCTTACATTATCACACCGTCGCGCGAAATTGTCCGATTTTCATCAAAGCGTGGTGTTGTATCGAAACCGGAGCCGACAGTGTTGGTGTGGTCCCTTGCTGATTCTCTTCGGCCTCAATTGTCATTGTGGTGCCATCAGGAAATCTACTGCGTCTCCTTCTGCCCAATGAATGTCGACTTTATAATCGGCGGTTCCGCGTCTGGTCAGGTAGTCGTCTGGAATATTCACGGGCAAATAGAAGCTCGAGATATTAAAGACACCGTTTCTATTACCTCTGTGTTTGTGGTATCCGATCAGGATCATTCACACGAGCTGCCGATTCGTCGGATACAGTGGCTTCCTGATAATTATAGGATAGACCCATCCGGGAAACTGACGAAGCTGTCCACTAGCTCGAGCTGTCAGTTTTTGACGATTTCCGAGGATGGTATCGTCGCCATTTGGGATCTTCTTAGATACTCCGTTACGTCTCAGTTGAAGCCGAACGATCGAGAGAATCTTAACGGTATTTTTCGACCAACGTATCGCTTGAACGTTCGACCTTCCGAGAACCTGTCTTTTACACCTCTTCACCTGTGCCTTCCATCCATCGATGCTTTTCAAGAAAGCGATAGGCGTAATGAATTAGATTCCACAGACGTCGACTGCACGAAAAGACTGTGGATCGGTACTGCGCAGGGACATTTCGCTTGCTGCACTTGGGAAGGTCAGGTGTTCGACATGGAAACGTCCGTTTTAGAGGAGTGCAAACTTCTTAATTGCTCGTCCGCGCACGACGGTCCCGTTGCAACGATTCTTCGATCGCCACATCTTTCGGATGTTCTCCTGACGATGGGCGGCCACGTCTTTGCCATTTGGAAGGATGACTATCTGGATCTTCCTCTGTTTAGACGAAAATCTGATTGTGTATATACCGCGTGTTGTTGGGGCAATCGACCAGGAATTTTCTTGATGGGTACTAGTTTGGGTGATCTGGAAATTTGGGATATCAAAAGATGGGCAAACAAGCCGGTGTTCACGCAGACTATTTCTAGAAAACCGATAACTCTCTTATCGCTTCAAGAGTCGTGTAAATATGATACCAAGCTATTCGGTGCCGGTGATTGTAATAGTGCATTTCGTATTTTTGAAGAACCAAAGGAATTCGAAGATGATATACTTGAAAGAATGGACTGGTTTGAAGAATATATATGGCGAGAGGTGAGAAGAAAAAAAATATTTTCTTCATGGCAGAAAGATTTTCTTCAAAACGATACGACAGCTATCGCTAGAAGGCAAGCTAGAGCAAACGAGGAACATAGATTAAAACTTGAAATGGCAAGGTTGAAACTTCATACAGAACATGAAGAACGATTGAGATTGGAGGCCGAAGAAGAAGAACGCAAAAAACCGAAATCCAAAGATACTGTATGGAAACTGCGTCAGCAAGAGAGAATGAAAAAAGTCCTTTTAGAGAAGAAGAAATTTCGTCCACGAGAATTAGAGGAGAAGAGGCTGCCATTGATTCGTTTAGCTGAAGAGAGAAATGCGAAGATGATCAAAGCAAAGAACGAAACTACTCTTCGGGATAAGCATTTTGATAACTTTATGTCTCTCAAATTTCCTGAATATTACGATCGTATAGAAAAAGATAAGATTTCGGAAGAGACACGTGAGACGATAAAGGATGAAGAAATAGATGTATATCTGGAAGAGTTTTATAAAATTAGAGATGAAGCGCGAAAGATGATAGCGGAGAAGCTGCATTCTCCAAAATTTGATTGGAACACTTGTGTAAAAAAGGGAAAAGAAAGGTTATAAAACGTGAACAATGTGTAAATGCAAAAGTTTTTCCGAAACGCTCTCCTATAAGAAGAGCGACTACTATTTTAATTTTGCGTGATGATAATTTAAGTTGTAAATGTGAGTTGATAAGATAAGATAGTTCAAATGCTCAGAAAATTTCTTCAATGAATTACACATAGGTGAGCCATGCAACACTTAAGCATTTATTTTTGAATAACTTCATGTTATTGAATTGAAAGCTAGGAAACAATATTATTTATATTCTTTTTTATTCATACAAATTAATAAATTAAGCTTTTGATATTTTGGTATGGAATATATTTGTTGGAAAAAATTGATATGTCATATTCTGCAAAAGTGGCATTTTCTCTTCATATATACATACGGATAAGATGCAACAAGCAATTAAATAATGACGCAATATAAACTTGCATGTTTTGCTTATCTATAACAGTACGCAATCAAGAGTTACAAAAACACATAAATATATGATCAAATATAAATTGAAAAAATATGAAAGAGTATAATTTTCAGAATATAAATATAAATTGGACATTTTTATTTGTTTAAACAGCATTTCATTAACTTAAAATATTTTGCATTATACGTATATAAAACATCCAAAATTTTAATTCATAAAATCGTTTTACTGACGGTATCATGAAAATGTTTTATTCCCGTCGAGACAAACTGAAGCTGTAGGTGATCATTGTACAATAATAAAATCTTTAAATATAGGATGCAATCTACTTAACGCTACAAATGCTTCGAAACGTTTGTAGCATCAAGTAAACCATAAATGAACCATAATAACATGTTAACATATAAACAAAATTGAAATTGTATAGTAAAAATGTCATCATCTGCGTATGAACATTAGCCTGTGTAGCTTATACTGTTATTATGATTGTTAAAACTTCTCGCTTACGTTAGCTGCTTAGTGACGATAACGAAGCCATTTGATAATTTTTCAGGGTCTGGGCATAATATGTATGGCGTGCGCGTCTCCAGCGTACATAGGTGCAACGCACTGGTTTCTGTTTGTCGTGGTAATATGCTTCATATCTACACTTATATGGTGCGCCATATACTTCCTGTCCCTCCGAGAGGTACTTAAGGTGCCCATCAATTGGATTCTAACTGTGAGTGTAAAAGAAAAAAAATTATAAAAGGAATTGCTAAACGAAACGCGTGTCTTTAACTTATTTTTTTCCACTGTCTACATAGTATTTGCATATTACTTGACATTCAAAAATATTTAAAAAAAAATATTTGTATTTAGTTTTTTATTTTTCATAAATATGTGAATCTATTTAAAATCAGTTTTAAGTTGTGATGTGTATTTAATTAAAAAACAAACATTTTTTAGGAACTTCTAAATACATCTTCAGAAACTGTGCTTTACATGATCGCATTCATCGTTCAGCTATCGGCTTGGAGCGCATACAGAGCTTCATCATCGAATATCGCTGCTGGGGTGAGGCTTGCTAGTATGACACTTTTAAAAACTGAAAATCATCGTCAATAATCATTAATGACAATAATCATCAATGTCATTAAAATATAATCAACGTTGATTACAGATATTTGGAATCTTCAACACCATCGCATACGCCGCCGGGGCTTATTTCCTATACGTTGAATGGAAGAGTACTAACACGCAATGAGCATCGTCGGCCTACAGAGGATAAGCCAGGTACCTGAAGAGCATACAACAACAATTGCCGTGATTAGATCCGCAACTTCTCAGCGTCCGTACAAGGAAATTTTAGCATGGTCCCAAGATCATGCTCAGCAAGAAAGTCAACGCTGGGAGGGACGACTTGAAACTAGTCCGGCATGATTCTCCTCAGATCGTGTGTAGCTTAAAAAAAGACTCTGTACCTACGTGCCTTAAGATTAGTTATTTGTCGTGATCGTCGTCGTTAGAACGAAATTCGGTGCCGCATTGAGAAGGGTTGATGAAGTCGCAGGAGCGAACGGAGTGCTACATTCGAGATACCTGCCTGAAGACAATAATGTTCACAAAGTCTACGTGAAAATCGTAATTTACTTGAAATTATAGCGCAGAAATAATCTAAGAAATAAAACCAACACCTATTTTGAAATTACTTTAAATACCAAAAGATTATTGTCTTCATACGAAGATTCCGGTAATTTCATGATAAGAGTTATTTACATATTATATATTTAATCTGCTTATTAATAAACAAATAAGTATGTATCTTTAGATAAAGATTATATAGTCGCTAAATTATATGTTGAAAATATTTATCATTTAATTTTCCACAATATTATCTCTATTTTTATAATATTAGCTTACGTTAATTTTTTAATTAAATAATTTTATTATCTTATATAAATTATGTCTTTACTGTATTTAATATCACATACAGATCTGAAGTTAATTTTGTAAAATTGTGTATGAGACTGGCGTCATTTCGTTTGTATTACTGCACTTTGATCGTATAATCCTTCGATCGACGACAAGATAAATAGTTTTAAGAAACCTTAATATATCTGCAGTGTACGGTAAGTTTCCAAAGGGCTATTGTTGGTTTTCAATTCAATTCAATTGTCAAAGACTTGCTTTATTATCTAAAACTATCTTAGCGAAGTCTGTATTGAATGATCTTCGCCGGTAATTATGTCAATTTGTTTCGTCTTAACGGATTAACTTCTCGTGCAACAGATATAAGTGCGTTATTTTCTAACCGTACTCTTGCGCACTCCCGCGAGATCTTATTTATATACACACACACATATATATATTTCTTTATACATAAAATATATATATATAAATATGACATAAGTATATATATTATATATACATATCCTGTCTAGATCGGATACAGTGTAATTTCCTTTTACATTCTTATATTCATTCTCATGTAAATCATATATTTTGTATAGATTAAGGGAGATTTTTGTCTCGACAGAATCGATTATGGATATAGCTTACAGCTCGATTTATCATTTTTTCGTTATATTTTTATGCAAGAAGTTTACATTCAAAAAATGCCTTTGCGCGTCCTTCTGTAGCGTTCGCGGGTTATTGCCAGCGTGATAGCACCGACGCGATTAACTGTAACTAAAAGTGGATATTATGTTGGCAATTAAGATTATGTGCCTCTTTTCTTATTATCAGCGTGAGAGAACGCATTCACTCATTTATCTCTCCCACTCATTCGTTATTTCTCAATTCACGCCGCGTCAACACTTACGCATTTATATTATACTTTCGAAAAATTGTTAATCTAAACATTGTTATATTTGTTTATGTGTAGCACTACTTTCCGCGCATCATAATAGATTTACGTGCGCGATGATATATACATAATATATATACATATATCTGCGTTCAAACAGTTTTTTTAATTTTCGAAGTTTATTTATTTTTAAGCTTGGATGCTATATATAAATAAAGGAAAATTAAAAGCCAATATTATAAGTACATGTGTTCCTTTATTACTGCCAGCATGGACGTATCAAATTTAAGTTTTATCATTATTGTTTCACGTTTAATTCTACAGAGAACACTATCGATATCGAGTAATACAATATATTGCTATTAATATATAAATTTTATGTACGAGGAAATAGGTCACACTTAATTAATGTAATACAAGTTTTTCATACATTTCAGTCATTTAGACCTTTATACACAAATAATCTAATTATTAATTTAAAAAAAAAAGATAAAAAGAATAAGGAGCACACTATTAAATTAAATGATCTTGAAATGATACGGATTATATAATTCAATTGTGTGTGTGAGCCTCCTCCTCATGATATTTAAATGAAATATAATATAAAATAATAACATGCAATTGCTTAAAATTGAAATTACTTATAACGTTCTCTGTTATAATACTGATCAGAAAGTCCAAATTGATTCCCTGTATAATGAATAGAATTTCTGAAAGCTTATCTCTGCTTATTCTAATTTTTAGCACGGCGAATTTGTATCTCCTAATGAAGGTATATATATAAAAAGAACTTACTTAAATATCTAAAAATTTAACTAAATACATAATTATTATATAAATACATAATTTCTACATAATTATATAGAAATATACTATATAATGGTCCACAACAAAATTATTTTCAGATTTATATCCAATTAAATTTTTAGATATTTCAGAAAAATATATCGTTGTTTCCGTGTAGCTTAACGCTATAGTCTTGTTCATTTATATACAGGGTGCCCCGAAAGTGTTTGCCAATCGCTTTTGTGTAGATAGAGCGGACTAAACTGAGTTGAAAAGTTCTCTACTATTTTGCAATTTTCATAATAATTAACAAGATATTAATTACTAAAAATTGCCAAATATTAGTCTTAATTATTTTTTACTCAAATACTATCAACTTTATAGAAAAGTTGCAAGAGACTAAAATCATTTATTTTCTTCTCATAAAGTTCTGAGAATTTTTTCAGAATTTTTTAATACCGTATTTTCTCATGTTGGTAAAAATAAGAAAATGCAGTACTAAAAAGTTGATAAAAAATTCTGAAAAAATTTTTAGAGTTCTATAAGAAGAAAATAAATGACTTTTGTCTGTTGCAGTTTTTCTGTAAAATTGATGGTATTTGAGTAAAAAATTCAAGACCACAACAATATTTGGCAATTTTTAGTAATTAATATCTTGTTAACTATTGCGAAAATTGCAAAATGGTAGAGGACTTTTCGACTCAGTTTAGTCCGCTCTATCTACACAAAAGCGATTGGCGAAAACTTTCAGGACACCCTGTATATGTGCATAAGGTATTAATAGAATTCCAAGATTAATTTTTGTATATAGACAATTTCCATTTTTACATTACATTGGATACAAATGCAAATAGAGTTATATAAAAATATATAGCAAGATGCAAATTAATGCATCACATTGGCATGTCGTTGTGAACAATACTAAACGCTTTATCGCGCATTCGTTATTTCATATTCTTCGTTTATTAAATTATTTCCGTTAAAAAGCCTATCTTCGATATGTTTATTTATCTTGCCTCATTAAGAATCGCGGTGTATTTATATCGAGTATATACACACGTATTGTCTAAAAATGTGTGCATGTATGATATCACCAATGACGTCATCTTTGGTTTCTCGTTCAAAACGCAACGCTCCAGTCAGTCGCTGACGGCTGGTGCGTAACAACGTATTTTCAGGTTAGTGGTAGCTTCATATGGCATGTGCAATTTTTTATATTCTTGACTAAGCACGCATTTCGATTAATTATTCATCATTCGATCGTACATCAATAATTTTTCATTCAATTCCGTTGAATAATTTATTTATCCGGTTGTAATAAATTGAATAATTTATTATATGTAAAAAATAAATGCGTAATATTTTAAAATTACAATAATTTGATAATAATTACAATCTAAACTTCCGCAAATATATTTATAATATTAACGTAGCAACAAAATTTTCTTATACTGTCAAGGAGAAGTTCAAAAGATTTTTATTCTCATTTATTGAATGCAATTTCATATTTGATTATAGAATATAAAGGCAAAAAAATCTCTCTTTACGTAACGTATTTGTTGATATAATTAATGTGCGATTTGTACGTTAAATTTCTACGTTGTTTTATGTAATTCAAAGTTTTTTTCGATTCTTAGTAAAATTAGTAAGAGAGATAATCTGGTTTAAACTTTACGCAATATAATAGTTTAGTAATTTGAAGAATTAATTAATAATTTGGAAAATATGAGCAAAGTTTACATAGTATTATAGATAAAATATCTTCAGTGGTGATATTTTACGAAACCTTTTCTAGGAAACATTGAGAGAATTTATCGGGTAAATTGATAGATTCAGTTCTAATCGGTTGCTTCGATAAATTTTTAACTCACGTTTTTCGTGTGTATTTTAGATACTTAAAAATAACCCATGCGTAAGCGGACGTTTGCTTGTTCGTAACACGGGCCTCAATTTCCACGAGAATGCCAAATTTTCACATGACTGGCTTTAATATTTCTCATTGTTAATATCGCAGTATAAACATTGTTTGTCCTGTCTTTATATGCTGATATAAACTTGCAGCATTCTTTTTCTTCTTACATATATGTTATTACATCGAAGTATCTTGTATGCGAAGTTATTTTGAAATACGAGAAGTGCATGCGTAATCTTTTTAAAAGATTACGTTTTTGATTACAAGTTAGATTTTAATGTTTATTTACAATATTGTAAACATAAAATATTATATGTAATGCAAGTCACAATTCTTTCCATTCAGTATTTTTAAATAATTGTTATATACATCCTATATTCATTTATGATAGATAATATGATGGATCGTCATTTTGCGTAAAAAATTATTTTATATTTATTTTGTATTTATATTTTATAGTTTATATCGAGTATATACACACGTTTTATATTTACCTTGTATTTTACAATTTGCATTTTTTACAATTTACTTATAATTGTTTGAATAGTAGTAAGTTACCGCAAAATTAGTAGAAACAAGATATAAAAAATATCTTTTATTTTGATGTAATTCTTATTGATGAACTATTTCAATTTTTTATTTTCTTTATCAGAAAAATATGAGAGAGACATCGACATAAATACTTTTTACACTAAAAGGAAAATTTCAATCTTCTGTGTATAATTATATATTAAATTTAATTCAATCATCATTTGTGAAGATGTGGCGTTATCATAATTATCATGTATATTAAATTTAATATAGTTATTATACTAAGAAGATAAAATTTCGTCAATATATAATTCAACTGGATAAAGTGAAATTCAATAAAAATTGTAAAAGCTAGCACTTAGAATTAAAATATTTTCCCTATTATTATATTATGGCGTCTCTTCAATAAGAGAAAGTAAATTCGAAGGTCGGTCTACGCACTATCGATCGGACAAACTTAAAGGGTGTGTCTGAATGTTTCGGACTATCAAAGAATATCTAATAATGGGAATGTTTTCGTTTATGTGCGTTTCATCCATTGAAGCATGCAATTAAATATTGAGTTAATTTCATTTATCGAAATTAAATGTTTTTTGAAAAATATTTTTTACAAATCAAATCTTATAATTACTTCCAACCTGTATATTATATGTATGTTGCATACGTACGTGCATATACATATATCTAACATATAACTAACTTGGAAAGGCATACAAATTTCGAATTTCGAGGGAAAATATAAGCACATATTTCTCTTTTCTCATGAAAAAAACTTGGATTCTTTCTCAATGTAGGTCACATCTCGAAATTTTGACCCTGTCCTACTTGACGCAAGTAAATGTTCCCGCTTATGCATATTGAATGGATCTTTATAAATAACGATAGGAAATGGAGAACACAATTATCTTTGATTTCAGAACTGACATTAAAACCAGTAAAAGATGTCTCATTCAGTGACGATTAGAACGCAAACAGTGACGAGCAGCTCGTCCACGATTGTCGTCAATACCGGTTACTTGAAAACTTGGAGCGGTATTTTAAAGTTGTTACAATTGGTATGCGCCTCATTATTATTTCATATATTTAATTCTCTTTACTTAAGTCATTATTAATATATTTCTTAATTACTTCAAGCATTCATTATTATTTTTTAATTACAAGACAGTTTTTTAAAATTAATTATGGATAGTAGCGATAATTTTTCAATAAAATCATAGAACAATAATTTTAATAAATTACTATATAAATTGTACATAAATTGTACAACTTTAAAAGAAATTAAATGAGTCAAGCAAATTTTTCGTGCTAATAAATGTTATACATTAAGCCTTAGTCGGCAATGAAAATTTTCACTCTTTGTCCGCAACTGGGTCTTCGAATTTCAATGCAGATTTTTATGTTATTTTACGCTGTATAAAAATCTGAAAAAATTCTTACATACTTGTGAAAGTTTTAACAGCGACGTTTTACTATCATAGAAGTTAGATTATATTTTTTATAAATTTATTTGTCAGAATTCACAATAAAAAATTGGTTGTACCTTTAAAATTCAACATTACTAGCGGAGAGAATATAAATTGATAAATTCATAAATTAAATCGTAGACTACGTTTTGACCTTTATTACGATCATTTTTAAGAAGTTCATGGAATCAAATAATCAAACTAAACCAAAATGTAGATGTTATCATGATAGATATTAATGCAAAATTTATGTATCTAATGTTCTACAACCGTTTAAGAAACGTATACAAAATCAATATATGTTACTGAGGTACATCCTTACAGTAAAACAAAATTGGTTCGACCGGTTTATACATTACGATTGTTTTATAATTAAAACTACCTAAAAAATAAAATATTATAAATATACACTACCGTCGAAAAGTTTCCGGATATACGAGTATAACTTAAAATTGCATAATATTCAGGTCATCGTAACTCGATAAAAAATCATCGCAGACGAAAAAAGTATTTTAAAGCTTAAAACTTATACTTTAGCATGCTTTTGACCGCTTTTCAAAAAAATTTTGTCTTTACAGTTCTGTATCTTAATAAATATCACGTTATTTATATATTATATTTCTTAAAATTACGTCCATTTAACAGTGTGCAATTCGATAAAAAATTTTTTTTCAAAAAGTTCAATATTTTTGAAAAATAGTACAAAGATTTACCTTCAAAATGCTTTTTTAAAAATTTTTTTATGATTTTTCTTGACTGAATTACGCATCATTGAAGCTAAACCTGCATAGCTCACAACCAACATTACAATTCGGTGAAATACCATCGTAGAAGTATTTTGAAGCTCGAAGTTTGTACTTGAACAAACTTCTGATTGTTTTTAAATTTAATTCTACAGAATTGAGAAGATAAAATTTTTTGTGATGATTTTTTACCAAATTTCACCGTTGGTTATTTAGCAATGCAGGTTTAGCTTCATTATCGCGTATAATTTAGTCAAGAAAAATTATAAGAAAACTTTTGAGAAAGCATTTTGGCGGTAAATCTTTGTTTTTGTACTGTTTTTCAGAAATATTAAACTTTTTGAAAATAAACTTTTTATGTAATTTTAAGAAATACAATAATGTGATATTTATTAAGATACAGAATTGTAAAGACAAAATTTTTTTGAAAAGCGGTCAAAAGCATGCTAAAGTATAAGTTTAAGCTTTAAAATGCTTTTTTATTTTTTCATCTGCGATGATTTTTTACCGAGTTATGATAACCTGAGCAATTTTAAGTTATATGTCCGGAAACTTTTCGACGGCAGTGTATACATTGATAAAATGAACTATTACCTTCTATATGTATATAAATACTTATGACAAGCTATGACAAATGTCTTATAGGCCTTCTACAATAAGCCGCAAGTTAGAACATTAGAAGTCTTAACTAGTCTTAACCAAATCGTTCAAGTTGGCTATTGGCCAACTTCACCGATTATGACTTAAGATCGCTTAGAACTTCTAACTTGCGCCTTATTGTAGACAGGCTGTAATAGATGATTATAAAAATTTATATTTAAACTATAAGAAGAGTCATATACATATACATATATGAACATACATATGTGAATTGTTATGATATATGAACATGTAATTAGGACTTTATATGTATAATTATTGTATAAGCGTTATGCAGTATCATATAAAATTATATACAATAATTTTACATATAGAGGAAAGGCCCCTATTATGAGATACCGAGTTTATTTTGGGTAGATACTAGAAGTAGAAGCAGAATTTTAAAAAATAATAGGTCATTTTGAAGGTAATTTAATAAGCTTTAAGATAACGTCACATAAAATTTAATTCAAATTACCCAGGGTTATCTCATATTACGATTTTCACGCCTTATGGTTTTACGATCATCAAATCTAACATCTGTAATTAAACAATTCAACATATCCCGTATTTTTCTATTAGTACGACCTTACTCTATCACTACATGAAGAATTTATTGCCAAATATTTATTGATTAAATAATAAACAAGGTTTAAATGCTCATCTCAATAAAACTTGAAGATATCCAAATTCTCAAATCTTGTTTTACAATGACTGCAGACATGATCTAATAATGAATTTTCTATTAAATAATTTTCAATCCAAGAGCAATAAATTCATGGTGGAACCAATATAGATAGCGTTTATTAGTTTAACAGAAACGCCGCTATCTCATATTAGGCGCCTATCTCATAATAGGGGGCTTTCCTCTATACAATTATACATATATACATTTTTACCAATTAATTTTTACACAAAAAAATTATATCTCTGTCTAATCTGAAATATTTTCATACTTTTACTAACAGGCACTGGGCATAGTTTGCGTAGGAATTGCTGGTCATGAATTTAGTAACAATTTAATTTATCGAAATACCGCAGAGCTTTTCTTTCTTCTTATAACGACTACTTTCATGATTGGCACTTTCATCCTTCTTCTCAGTTGTTTGACATCTTTCTCTACTGCATCTATTATGTCGAAGACTATCTATGTAAGTACAAAAATAAAAGAATGTATATGTAAAATTGTAATTATATTTCATATGATTCAAATTATACATAATTTAAATTTTTTAATTGTAATTTACATAATCTGTTGTCTGTATTTTATTTGCATTTCACTTGTAAGTAAATATGCGTACTTTTTTTAGCCTGTAAGAAAAATATTCTTAAACGTTAAAATTTATTTAAATAATATTAAAACCGTGAGAATTAAGAAAATATGTTTCCATAACAATTTAAACGATATGTTGACTGATATAATTTTTGATACTTTTAGGAACTTCTTTATCATTCCATTGCATTTGGATTGGTACTTGCGGCCTCATTGACACTCTTGGTACACGTCAATAATTATAAACGTTACAGTAGTTATGAGCTGTTATTAGGTGCCTCCGTATGTACAATGTTATAAAATATAGAATTATAATGTTATTTAATTACAATATTATTTAATTTGGATAATTAATTTGCAGGGATGGCAAGTAACGCGTTTTACGTATAACGTCATTACTATTACTGTTACCGTTATTTTTTTATAGTAATGATTTGGTAATGACGTTATGTTTTTTTATGACGTCAGGGTTGGGATAGTCACTTTTGAAAATAACTTGTTTACTATTATGCGTTTCTCATTGAAAAAAGTAACTCATTAACTTACTCGTTACATAACGTATAAAATTCCAACCATGGCATTATTGTTATAAAAAATTATTATTGTTATGAAAAATTATTATTATAAAACGTTATTATAAAAAAGTAACGATAACGATAGCAATAACAGCGTTACATGTTGTTTCTGTTAATCTGTATACAATTATGTTACAACCCAAATAACATGCATGTCTTTTAGACATAGGACGTCTAAAAGATATCTTTTAGATACCTTATGCGATATAAATGTTATCTGGCAAAATAAGTCTAATGAATCATCTTTCATCTAAAGAATTAGAATTATTTTTATCAATTTCTAGTAAATTTTTTTATTAGCAAGAATATCAAAATCGTGAAAGGTGATTTGTTAGATTTAAGCTGTTTAAATAAACATTACTTGTGCAGATTACTTACGCAATTACTTATGCAGATCTTATTATACATTATATAAATACCACTGTTATATAAATATTACTTTAATTGTTATCTAGATTTGCGGCCTGGTAAACGCGGGTTTATATCTCTTCAGCACAATCATCGCTCTTCGTACTTATAGAGGGATTTAAGTACAGGAATCAAATTATGCGGTTGTTACTAAAAAGTGAAAACAGATTTCTCATATACAAGTTGCAAGCACGAAAACATTTTATAAGTAAAACATATTTTAGTAATTGTATAACAAATTTTGACTGCCCGGCATTCAATACTTAACAAGTATCAAAAAAGTGCCGAAAAATAATTTTATGTTACAAATTTTTTTTAATTATATAGCATTCATATATTTATTTATTTTTATATGTATAATGATTATTGATTTTTGGTAAAATAAAAAAAAATTTATTTTACTATTTTTAACAAATGTAACAAATACTATCACGTCCTTTATTAAGGGGGTATTCTACTTTGACTACTCGTTTTCAAGACGATTTTTGAGAATTAAATTTGTAAAAATGGTTAAATCTATACAGCTAATGTTATGTATTTTATATTTATCTATATTTGAAATACTATTTCAAATTTTTACAAAGCGTTCTATTGTTAATTATAAAAGATATAAATAAATACACAGATCAAGCTTAAAAAATTTACTTTCATCGGGCGTGATAATTGCTGCCATTCTCGTCATCTGAAACAAATAAATGTTTTTTCGTTTTATTCTTTATAAATGTAGTTATCGTTCGGTCCTCTAATAAATAATTGGAAGAAAAGTTGACAAAATCACGGCACTTGAAAAAGTGTTTCAATTTTTACTAAAAAAATATTCATTTCTTGCGATCTGGAAAAATAGTAATTTTGAAGGTATCAAAAAGTTTTGGAGGGTCAAACGATAGTCTAATATGTACACGATATATGTGCAAAAACGCAAGTTGATCGGCCCAGTAGTTCTTGAGAAAAATACACGCCCGATTTGAAAAAAGTCGTTTCGAGAAAAACACGTTTAAAGTTTCTCATGCATTTACGAGGTGAATAATGAGTAATTTCAGTAATTTACCCTTAGTCGGCTATACCAGCTTCAAATTCATCGTGTTGAGTAGCCATTTCTTCTCTCCTGGCAATCCTTGCCTTTTTAGATTCGTAAGACGCCCGCTTGTCAGAACGTTATAACTTAATAATTATTATAACTTAATAATTGTTATAACTTCGTTAATATTGCGAATTTTTGTATAAAATTTTACAGAGATATTCTACAGAGACTGTAAGGATTGAAAAAAATGTAAAAAAAATCGATTTTTTTGACCTGACACAAAGTAGAATACCCCCTTAATAAAATCCACTATTATATGTATACAAGAGGATATAGATGCTTAAACAAGTTGATGTCTTTTATTAAAGTACATAAAGATAGATTGAACAAATTTCATTTAGAATGTGGTTTATAAAATAAGTTGTAGTGATTGCAATGTTTTATACGTGGGAAAGACAAAGAGAGAATTTGGAACTCGAGTCAATAAATACAGAAATAATATCAGATGTAATCCGTCTAGACACTCTGTCATTACACAACATATGTTGAATTATAATTATTCATTTGATTGGGAAGACACTAAAATTTTAGGTAAATTTTAAATGAAACTAACTATAATAAAAGGAGAATTTCGGAAAAGCCTAATGAAATATTAAAGAACAAATAGAAAGGATTTATTCACAAAGAAATACATAGAACTTGACAGAGAGTCTTGACGAATCTTATTTTATTTTTTTAGATTTTATCTATTCGGAATAACAATAATAAATAAATATACGTATACAGAACTCTTTGTCTGCCTTACAAAGCGATATTCTCATTTGAATTTGAACGTCGATATTGCGTTAACACATTAAATATGATAGCCTTGTTTTTAATGTAAGTTTTAATTTTATAACCTGTGTAATTTTTCTTTATATTTTTGACATAAAATTGTTTTTCTGATAGTATAATAGATTAATATGTATACTCAAATTAATTTTTAATTTATGATCATTGACTTTCGCTGAACAACGATAGATTTGATAACCTATATATACAACGATTTGATATAGATACGACACCACTCTTTTATTGTGACGAGAAGCGGAGACATCAGTTTTTATTTAGCTTCTGTACGTAAAAAATCTCACTGCAGTGACTTTTTTACTTGAATGTATGTCTATTGTGTGACTTACCAATTTATAATGTGATGTCAGCGTTTTATCGACACAACGGAAAACTTATTAATTTATATTATTTATAAATTTGTGTTATTAGAAAAATATGTGATTATATGATATATGATTATGATGCATAATATATTTGCGTTAATTGAAGAAGGACCGGTGCTCTGAAGCGTCGGTTTTAATTTATAATTTATGTTGATATACTAATAATAATTGAACCTGTTTAAAAATTTTTTGTTAGATCACTGACCTTTGTTTAGTATTAGTATTTTAAGTAAATAGTTTACAATCAAAGATAACTATATGTAGGGGAGAAAAAGAGAAAGAGGAAAGAGGAGATAGAGCACACTCAGCATGCGCATACACACATACATAGTACATACGACTGACACAACTTATAAATCCGACCGGGTATTATATATTTTTTTTATTATGTATTCATTTCTTAATAAAGTTTTTTATTGTCAAATTGAGGCATTTGATTACAGGATGTCAAAAAGCGATGTACTTTAGAACTTGTAAAAAAATTTTTTTCTATCCTTAAAAACATTTTATAATCCAGTTAAATGCATCTTTTAAAGGTCCTGTAGGAGGTCCCGAAAAAATTCCAACTGGATCTTGTGTTCTGGGTGAACAGATCTACAATTTGAGGGAAGTAACGACCCATTTGAACGCTTGGAATTTTGCTAAAATCGATCTTGAACTAAAAAATTTGACTATTTTTTCGCATTAATCAGGCTATATTTCTTAAGGCGTATATCGTATGGTTAAATGAATTATTGCATCGTGTTCAGCGACCAAAAAAACATACAGTACCACATTAAAAATCCGGTTTAAGCCATTTTTCTAAATCTTAATATTTTTTGATAAAAATGTAGGGGTATTCTTTTGGCATAAAATGGAAGCTTTTGAACTAAGAGGTCGATTATAAAAAAATTTTTTTTTCTTGTCGCCTAGTCTAATGATACACGGGGGCACCCGACTGATGTTTCCCAACATAGCCCCAATTTCTTACAGTAGTATAGTCACGAAAATAGAGCCACATATACAGAAATTTATAAAATAGTTATTTTATCTATTTGTCTTCACTTACCGATAATGTCATTTATTGTACATTAGCAACAATTCATGTCAACTAAAATAACGAATTAGCCGGAAAAAATATTATATATATGGACATATTATAGATAATGTGTTTCCCAAAGTAAAATTTTGTTTAAAAATTTTAATTCGCGGACGATACTTGACCTGAAATTTTGGAAGGCAGGGTGAATTTGGCTATTTTCATAAATTAATAGACATGGAGTATTTTCCATTTGCTGACACAAATCGACACAAATATCGTTCTATATTTATTACTCATCGGAAACGAATAAAGATAAAAAAAAGTAAACGATGTAACAATATAAGGGCTATGAGTTAATCGGAATGTAGATTGCTAATTATTTATCTTCCAAACATATAAATATAACCACGAATGTTTCGACTCTTACCAGGACATTCTCATTGTGAAAATTAAAATTAATTACAATAAAACATTTGCAAACTAATTTAAACAATAAAAAGAAGAAATATTCTTACAATTATTTGGAGGAGGAGAGAGGGGGAGGGGAGAGAGAGAGAGAGAGAGAGAGAGAGAGAGAGAGAGAGAGAGAGAGAGAGAGAGAAGAGAGAGAGAGAGAGAGAGAGCTTGCATTTGGAGATAAGCCGAACGGATACATTGCCGAATGTATGGTCATTTGGCAATGATTAGAAATTAATATATTTTTTGTTGACTTTTGTGAAAATTGCAAAATGGTACAGGATTTTTCGACTCACAAAGGACCAAGTGTTTCCCTGCGATTTTGATGAATTTTTTATAGATGAAAATAAGGAACATTATATATTTTCCAAATTTATATATTTATAAATAAAACTTTATAACATCGGTGTAAAACTCCTTTTATAGTCGAAAAGCAAGAAATATTTATCTATTTATTTATTTACGTTAACATAAATTCTGCTTGGTTTCTGTCAACAATAAAAATAAAAAAGGGTCGGACGAGGGATAAAATGGATAAGCATAGAATACATGAAATAGACAGGTATTTTATGTCTGAAACTTATATTATTTTTATTGATTTTGACTATATGACTCTGCGTCAATACATGACTTTTTAATATACACCACATTGCGTCAATTATATATTTCATGTTTTAGTGTTTAACACGTTTTTCATCTTTCTTTGAGGGTGCGTTCTGATATTTAAGGCGATGCTAAAGCCCCCCTGTTTTACCACATTCCTATTCGGTGGGATTTCTCCGTATTGGATGTACGGATTGCAAAAGTATTATTACTTAAATTATAGTACGCACACAGAGGATGTTTGCTACTCTGGATTTTATGAGAAAATCGAAAAAAAATTATAAAATTTACTTATTTTTGTCTCGCACAGCTGTCACCTCGGATATATATTTGCTTGATATAAGAGTTTTAGAGTCCATATCTTGAA